ATTAGGATGAATTATTAGAAATGCAAAAATAGACTAATCAGTACTTTAGTGAAATTATTTATTTTATATATTTTATTTTTGTTAAATAAAAAAGACAACTAGAATAATAACTATATTTAAGTTAAAAAAGTAAAGATGAAAAACAATATTTAATTAAAAATGATGATACTAGTTTAAATTTTTTATAAGAAAAAATAAAAGTACTAGAACAATAATTAAAAGAAAAAAATATTTATATAAAAGAAATCGAATAAGAATTTATATAGGTTTAAAATTTAAAAACATTATTTTAACGAAAACAAAATATTATAAATGCTTTAAGAACCGAAGTTGAGATTTTAACAAAAATATAAAAGGAAAATTATATTCAAAGAGAAAATAATATTAATTTTTTATAAAATTTATAATTAAAAAAAACATGAATAATAATAATATATAATATAATGATTTAAATGAAAATAATGAATAAGATTCTAATTTTTTAAATATTTAATTATAAAGAAGATTTTATTTATAATAATTAAAAAATTATACAAGCGATCAATATTAATATTTTAAAGAATAAGCCTAATAAAGCAAAATATTAAATAATTTATAAATATGAGAAAAATTTAAAATAACCTTTTATTTTTTATATTAGAATATATAAAGAAATTTTTTTTCATAAAAATACTATTTTATATATAATATATTACGATTTTTGTTGTTAAAAAAACAATTAAATTTATTCTCAAAAAATGAATGTTATATAATAAAAATAATTTTTGGAAAAATATAAAAATAATTTCATTTTTTTTTCTTTTTCTTCTTTTTAGGTTTTTTCATATTTACCAAAGGGAAATCCATTCTAAGTCCATCGTCTTTTGGATCTGTTTATTTATTAATATTTCTCAAAAAGTTAATATGAGGATTAGTAGTTTTAAATTCTTATAATTCGGCATCAGTAATAGCAGGAGTGAAATTCAAGAAAACTCTTTCTAATTTAGGAACAAACTTAATAAGTGAATTAATACATTCTTAAGTTATACTTTCTAAATTGTTTAATTCTAAAAATTATAAATTAGGAGTTATTTAAAATAATTTAATAAGAGATCCATTTGTTAAATGCTTTAAACCACCAAGCTTTAGTATTTATAGATGTTAAAAAATAGGTATTTTTTTAACATTTTATTAACCTTTTTTTTAATTTACTTTTTTTTTTTTTTTTAAATACCTGATATTAATCCATATATTCCATTATCGTCTATATTTATCGAACCTGTTAATACTAATTATTAAAGTTTTCGGCAATTTCCTATTTTATCCATTATATTTTTGTTTATTTCTTGTTATGGCATAAATGAAACGTCTAAATATTACAAGTTATCAGCTGAATTATCTAATACAATACTTAATTTATCTCCATTTATTTTTTCGAGATCTTTTTTGTTATATTTATTAAATAATAATTTTTTTTATATAAATACTTGATAACAATAGTTCTTTAAACTTTTAGCCTGCTTAAATTAAATAATCTATAGTTTAATTAGAAATTTAAAAATTAAATGAAATATTTAATTTTTCGAGTTTTTTAGCGTTCTTCAAAGGTTCAAGAGAAATATCTTTTTTTTTAAAAAAAAAAATAAAAATAAAAATAAAAAATATAAAAAAGAAAAATACCATTAACTGATTCATCATTATGAGCTGCAAAAAATTTTATAATTTTATTTTTATGAGAAAGGAATTTTTTGATCCCGTTTTAAGTGAGTTTTTTACAATTACTAACATCTATAGATTAAAGTCTATTTTTTTTTATTATTTATGATATAATTTTAAATTAAATTATTACTTTTCACAAGAGACACCTATTTCATATAATATATCATCAGTAATTTCAGTTCCTGAGAGATTTATTTCTTCTAAGTTTATAGCAAAATAACCAATTTTATTTAATAAATCATTTTATATCCAAGTATGATTTTATAAATTAAGATATAAAAGTTAACTATTAAGAATTTCCATTAAATTTTATTCTGTTAAAACATAATTTGGTAGTTTCTTTAAATTTAAAATATAGAAAATATATAATAATTAAAAATAAAATAATATATACATATAATAATACATATATATATATATATATATATATATATAATATATATATTTCTAATTTTTTTATATATTTTATATATATACTTTTAAATGACGAATTTCCTCAGATTCGTATGTAGGTTCAAATACTATATCTCCTATTTATCTTATTTTTCTACTGAAATTTTAATCAAAGTTAGACAATGGAATTTCTGCAGAAATAGGTAAAAAATTACTATACTATTGAACATTTTAATTTGTTTCTTCAATCTGTATTTTTTTAAATATTAATTTTTATTTTTATTTAATTTTTTAAAATAATTACTATTTTTTATCTTGCATCTCTTTTTACCGTTGTTAAACTTAAATTGGAATTTTTAAAACCATCAGGAGGTACTCCTATTTTTTCTTCAATTATAGGTTTATTTATTTTTTTTAGATTTTAAAAAGGTTTCTTTATTATAAATTTTGTCTCAATATCTTATTTCATTCTTACTTGATATAAATAATCTAAATGAGTTGGATCTTCTCTTGGTTAAGGCGTTGGCATATATAATGGATTTTTTAGAACACGTGGATAATTCATTGAACACCATCCTTTTTTTATTTTTATTTATATTTAATTTATTTTAGTTCAAATTTTTTTGTTTATATATATACCTATTAATGATTTATGGTTTCTAAAAGAAGGAAATTAGTGTTTTTCTATGTTTCTGTTCACAGTTTCGGAAATCGAAAAGTTCTTATTTACATCATACATAAATTATATATTTTAATAAAAAGTTTTTTGATTATTAATTAAAATATATAAATATATATAATATTTTTTTTTTTTGAATTATCGTTGCAAATAAAAAATATAAAGTAAAAAATATAAATATGAAAATAAATTAAAAATTTAAAAAAAAATAATTATATTTTATATTTTAAATATATAAAAAAAAAGAAAAAGCAGAATTAAAAAATAAGTAAAAAATAAAATAAAAAATGAAATCAAAATTAGTTTAAAAAATAAAATAAATAAAAATATATATCAATTAGCTTTAATTCCTTTTAATTTGTTCAAAACTCTATCATAATGACCATTTTTTAATCCCTCAGATTTCCATTTTCTTAATTTAGTAGCTTGGTTTCTTCCTTAATTAAAAAGTTCGATTTCTTTATGAGTCATTTTTAAAATCATATTGGCGCAATCTTCAATAACTAAATAAAATGATTATCTTGCAAAAGATTTCACTCTAGTCTCAAAAACATGTAATAGAACATCGAAAAGTTTATAATCTTTAAAATATAATCCAATTCTAATACCAAATTCATAAAAATAAAAACTTTTTTCACGCAAATTAATAAATTAAGGATCTGCAATTAAGCTTTACTATTTATTGATTTTTTTTTTTTTTTTCAAAGAACAAAAAAAATGTATTTTTTTATTTTTGTTAAATGTATTATATTTATATATATTATTACTTAAAATTATGGCCTGAATATTAATGGAACTTCTAATGTTAATACTGAATCAGAATCTTCTTATTCTTCATTTATTTATAATTATTCGTTTAATTATTGTGCTAACCAAAACGGGACTTCTAAAATTGTATCTTTTTATATGTCTTTTCCATCTGAATATTCTAAATGTAGGTCTAAAAAACCGATTTTAAGAATTTCTTGGTTAAATTTTATGTTAATTTTCTCCTCTTCAAATATTATTTAATCTATATCATAATAGGACATTGCTTTTTTTTGGTTTTATTTGGGAGGTATTTTTTTTTTTTTGCAACAAAAAATAAAATAAAAATTATTTAGTTCTTTTTTTTTTTGTTTTATTTAAAAAATAATATTATATAATTTTTTTGTTTTGAATAGCCGCGAATTTCAAGTGTAAGAGGTTATTTAAAATTATTTTTTTGGTTTATTTATTCCAATAGAATCTAATTATATAAAAAAGTTAATAATTTGAGTAAAAAATAAATAAATTATATTGTATTTTAGCTAAATTTTGTCAAAAATTAAGAGAAAAAAAAAAAACAAAAAATATTTTCTTCTTCCATAAAATATTTTTTTAATTTAAAAGTAAAAATATAAAATTAATTTTTTTTTTGTTTTTCTAAAAAAATAAATAAATAAAAATAATTATCACTACTACTATTATTTATAAATTTTTTCATATAAACTATAACATTCGTCTTTTTATATATTTTATTCTTTATAATTTTCCACTATATAATAAAAAAGTCTAGCATGTCTTTTTTTATTAATTTAAAGGAAGAGATTTTTATTATTATATTCGTCATTCTTTTTCTAATGTTTTAAATTTTATAAACTAGCCAAATATTCGGGTGAAAATTTCCTTTAAAATTCAGTATCTGAGGAATTTATTCTTTAATTTAAATCCATTAATCTACTTAAAATCTAATCTAAGTCTTTATAAACTAAATTACTGAAATTTTTATATTCTGAAATATCTTTTTGTTCATTTTTTAATAAATCTTTTTTACAAGTACATTAATATACTACATTACCATTTTTATCTGAATCTTTTTTATTTATTTTTTTAAATATTATTTAATATAAATACTTGATTTAAATAATATTTCATATTCATTAAAAGATTTTTTGCATTCTGGGCAATAGAAGTTTTTATTTTCTTTCGTTTAGTTTATTTTATCATCGGCTATACTTTTATATCCATCTAAAGTATTTCTTAATTCCTTTAAACAATTTGTATTTAAACCCCAATATATTCTATTATCGATATCTTTTCTTTTCTTTTCTTCTTCGTTTCCTTCTTCTTTATTTTCTTCTCTGTTCTTTTTTCTTTATTCATCTTTTTTTTATTTTTCTTTTATGTAAAATTCTTATTTCTTTTATTTGTTGTTTAAAATGCCTTATTTTTTCATTTATTCTTATCTTTCCAATTTTTCTTCGTCAGGAATTTCATATTTTTCTAAAATCCAACCTTCCCATAGCTTTTCTAATTGTTTTAATTTTATATCTCTTACTCCTTTAGCTGGTTCTTTTTTTTTATTTGTAATTGGATCAGGCTAAATATCATATTTTATTAAAGTTGATTGTGTTTAAGCTTATCCTTGTTTAATTATTATTTCTGGAAAAATTATATATTCGGGGTCTTTATAAAAAAAGCGAACCCATTTTCTAATTAGTTTTAAATACAATTATTCGAATTCCTTTTCTTCATAAGTTTAATTTTTCATATTTTTTTTTATATATATTAGAAATATTTATTTTAAATGAAAATATTATAAAATCTATATAAAAATAAAATAACAACAAAATAATAATAAAAAATTAAAAATTCATTTATTTGTAAAAAGAAGGTTTGTTAACTTTTTTATTTCATTATGTAAATTTAAAATCCTATTTTTTTCGGTTCTAATTTCTGATCTATATTAATTATAAAAACACTCCTAAACTGAAATTTCATCTAAATCATATTCACAATAATAAAAATCAGGCACAGTCTCTCTTGTAATATTTCTATTTTTTTTAATATACTCACTTTTTTTCTTAAAATGTTAATAAAAATAAAAAGGAATAAAAAACGTGGCAGTAACTCCAAATAGAATAAAATATAAATCTACACCTAGTTTTCCTGTTTTAGCCATATAATATAAAAGTCCTTTCCCAGATTTTAAATGTTTTTAAAATGTAAGTCTATTCTAAACACTTGATTCTATTATTTAACTCCATCTATCTCCTATATTCATTTGGGGATTAAAATTTTTTATATCGGCCTTTCTTAATATATTCGATTAATATTATAATTCTCTTGGATCGTCTAAATGGGACATTTCCATAAATGTATCGTGATCATTTGTATATCTTTATTCATATTATGATATATGTTTAAATTTGATTTATTAAAAAAATTATTAGGTTTTGGTATTTTCTATAATAGGATCATTTATTTTGGTGTTTTTATCCAAAATATCTTTCATGAATTGTTTTTCTTCATCTGTTTCTTTTATTTTATCTAGTCCCCATTTTTGTTCTAGTTTTTTATATAAAAAATCATCATTATTGTTTTGTTATTCTTATTATTATTGATCTTGCTATTTTTATTCATCTTTTTATATAATTTATATTTATGAAGGTTTCCGATTTTTTAATTTTAATTTAATTGTTTCTTAAATTAGAACTTTTTTTAGATCTTCGATTTCTTTTGGAGTTTTATTTTTTTAAGAATATGCTTTATTGATGAGGTTTTCATTTTCAAAATTTTATTAATTATTTTCTTCTGGTTTATATTCTATTTTTTCTTCTTATTCATTTTTTTTTTATTTTCTTACATTTTTCTCTTTGTTTGTTTTTTACACACACCCCCCTTTTTTTCTTTAGTATCTAAAATAATTTAATTTAATTTAATTTAATTTAATTTCAAAAATAATGTTTTTATTTTTAAACTAGTAAAAAAAAATGTTAAAAAAATTTAAATTAATCTTTATAATAGTAATATTAATAAACTCATTTTAATCTATAATCAAGATTCATTTAAAATAATTTCAATAAAATTCTATAAAATAAATAATCTAGAATACCCAAAAATTTCGATTTAAAAATTTACTAAATAACTTAAAAGAAATAGAATAAGTTCCTTTAAAAAACTATTTTAATATCCAGTATTATGGTTAAATTTACTTAGGGGATTCGAAATAATAATTTTAAGTAATATTTGATACTGGCTCGAATTAATTATGGGTGCCATCATATAATTGTAAAACATGTGCAGGCCCTAATTTTTATAAATGTTAATCAAATATATGTTAAATATAGGATTATAAATAATATGATATAGAATATGGAAAAGGGTATGTAAAAGGATATAAAGTTATTGATATATTACATTTAGGGAATTTATAGACTGAATATTAATTTTTATAGGTCTTTTATTCAAACGATTTAGAAGGAATTTAAAGTGATGGAATTATGGGATTAGGTGTTAATAATAATAATATAGTTACAAAGCTCTATTTGGAAGGGAAAATTCCTAAGAATTAATTCTCGTTTTATTTTAATGACATTAATAAAATTAAATAAGCATAAGAATAATAATCAGTACTTATTTTAGGAGGGATAAATGAAGAACTAATTAAAGGGAAAACATTTTTATATTTTCCAGTTGTTTCGAAACGTTATTGGAATATTTAGATGAATAAAAGTGAATTTAAAGGAAATATATTAAGTTATATTGGTATTTAACCCAGGTAGGTACTCATAGATACTGGAACTTCAATTATTTATATGCCTAATTATGAGTTTTATAATTTTAAATAGGCTTTAGAAAAAGAAAAATTCTTATGCAATGATCTGGAATTAATTTCTTGTCATTGTATAAGTGAGAATGATTTTCCTAGTTTAAATATTTATTTATAAGGTAATAAAGAGGAATTAAAAATCAAAATAGATGCGAAAGATTACATTTATTTTGATTCAAATATATGTTATTTATTATTGTAGCCTTTAGGAGAAATCGATGTGGATAATATGTGGATTTTAGGAGATATTTTTCTTAAGGATAAGTATATTATTTTTGATTATGATAATACGTAGATTGGGATTGGAATAAATACTTTGTAAAATAAATAAGAGGAAAATATAAAAAATAGAGGATTAGCTTATTTTATTATAGTTATTATTAGTTTGGGATTATCAGCGATATTAGCTAAGTATTTTTATAAAAACTTTATGTGGAAAAATGATAATAGTAATGATAGTAATGATTAAATCAATAAACACATTATATTGATAGTTTGATTATGTTTATATATATTTAATATTTAAAATATAATTTTATAATTTAATAATTATTACTAAAAAATATTTTTATACAATAATATATAAATATATAAATATATAATATATAAATATATAAATATATAAATATATATATATATATATTTATATATTATTAATTTTTTTAATCAGGTTTTTTTCTTTTATTTATTTATAATTTGTATTATTTTTAATAAATTTATAGAAAAATAAGCTATTATTAACATTATATTTATTTTAAATATTAAAATAAATGATAAGAAACGACTTTTTAAAAAATTTATACTCATTCAAAAAAATATATTTATATATATATTTATATATATATATATATATTTATATATATATAAATAAATTTTTATATTTATATATATATTTTTATATATATATATTATTATTCTTTTTTTTTTTATTATTATTAACTTTTATATTTTTTTTTATTAAGTTATTGCAATATTAGCTATTATAAGATTATATTTATTTTAAATATAATAAAAAATAAAGATAATATACGACTGTTTAAAAAATTTAAGACTTATCTTAAAAATTAAACTATTTTTTTTATTAAGATATAAATATTTTATTAATATATTAATTTTTCGATATTATAAATCAATATATAATATTTATTTACTTTTATATTTTTTATTCTATGTCACTTATTTAATCAAGAAATGTGAGTAATTTTAGTGAAATATTAAAATTATTATTTGAAGTTTACATAAAATAGGAAAAGATTTATAAAATGTTTTTTTATAGCATATTCATTATTATTTTAATTATAATGAAATAAATAAATATAAAGGATTCTTATATAAATATAAAAATAATTATATCAATATTTAATATTAATATATATATATATATATATATTATGTTTGTATTTTATTTCAGAGTTTAATTTTGGATTATATGTTAAAATCATTATATATCATATAATGAGATTTTTAGTCATCATTTTGAATTATTTTTATATTGTAATTTTTATATTGTATTTTTTTTATATTGTATTTTATATAAATATATATATATTTTATTTTTTATATTATATTTTTATTTAATTTTTTTTTTACTATTTATAAAGATAAATAGTTTTAGCTCTTTTTTTATTATCTTTTTTTATTTTTTATATAAAAAAATTAATAATTATTTTATTCATATTGTAAAACATAAATCAATATTTTTATTTTTTATCTTTTTTCTAAATTTGATTTTTTTTTTATTTATTTAACAAAAATAGGGAAATAAAAAAATATTTAAATTACATAAAATAAAAAAATCACAAAATATTAATTTAATAAATAAAAATAATATTAATAATAATAAAAAAAAAAAAAATTAAAAAATTAAAAAATTAAAAAATGTCAGGACCAACTCCAAGAATTATGAAAGTATTTAATTTAAAAAAATAAAATAAATAAAAAATAAAATATAAAATTTATTATTATTCAACAACAAAAATAAAAAAAAAAGGAAACACAAAAGCTATAATAAGAAGCAAGTAAAAAAAACAAATAAATAAAAAAATATATATTATATTAATTTAATTTTTTTTATTTTTAATAATAGTCCCATAAATAGATGTTTAAGTTGATAAAAATAATTATCGTCACTTTTTTGTTAAAATATAAGGGCCTTCAAATACACCCTATGATGGAGGCATTTTTAACCTTGAATTATTATTACCAGACTAATATCCTATGAACCCCCCAAAAGCTGTATTTTGTACCAAAATATATCACCCCAATATAGATAATTTAGGTAGAATATGTCTTGATATTTTAAAGGATAAATGGTCCCCTGCTCTCTAAATCCGTTCTGTTCTTTTATCAATTTAAGCATTATTATCTTCTCCTAATCGTATATACAAAAAATAAATTTAATTTATGTTGATTTTTTTTTATATTATATAATTTTTTAAGCTGATGATCCTTTAAATAATGAAGCTGCTGAATTATGGAAAAGAGATGAAAAATAAGCATTATAAATAGGTTTTTTAAAATTATATATATTTTTTTATTATATAAATTTAATATTTTATTAGCAAAAGAATACACTTAAAAATATGCAAAATGAATAAAAATATTAATATAATATATTTATTTTTTTATTGAACAAATAAAAAATAAAAATTAAAAAATTAAGGTTATTATTTATTTTCTATTCAATATTTTTTAAATTCATTTTTTTATTGTTTTGTTTAAAATATACTTTTTTTTTATTATTATATAAATAAAAATGAGTTTTTGTATAATTAATTTATATTTTTAATAAGAAATTAAATAACCAAAAATAAAATATTCATTATAAAGGTAATAAATAATTAAAACTAATCCCATACTAAAATCATGAAATATTAATATAAAATAAATATAAAATATATTAAAAATTATTAATTAAAAGAAAGGAAAAAAAAAAAATATGAATATATTTACAAATAAATATTTTAAATAAAATATATATAATTAAATAAATTATATATGAATGATTAATAATATATTTTAATAAAATTCTATATTTTTGTAGTAATTATTTTAGGTTTTGCTAAAAGGTTTACAACTTTTTTAAATTTTAAAGCAATAAAATACTTAAAAATTAAATTAAAAAATTAAAAATAATATATATAAATAGGTATATAAAATAATATATAATAAAAAATATATATAAAAATAACAAATTTAAAAAAATTAAAAAGTAAAAAAAAAAATAGTTATTGATTTAATTTTAAAATATTGGATTTAATTATATATTTTTATATTTATGATAAATAAATTATTTTTATTTATATATATAATTAAATATTAAATAAAAAAAAAATTAATAATAAAAATAATATATATTAAATATTTAAAATATTATAGATAAATAAATATATAAATAAATATATAAATATAAAAATACATAAATATATAAATATATATATATATTTTTATTTACATTTATAAAATACAATTTATATTATTTATATATATAATATTTAATAATATATTTTTACATTTTAAATATTTATTCTTATTTGCATCATATATGTTATAAAAAATTACATATTAAAATTTTATTTATTATTTTAAGTTTAAAAAAAACAAATAATAAAATATATTAAATATTTTTTAAATATAAAAATATATGATTTTTTTTTTTTATATTTAAATATCTTTTTTTATATAAGATTTATAAAAAAATAAAAATCTTGTTTTTTCAAATTATATATAAAGATTTATTTAATATTAGTATTTATTTAAAAAAATATAATTCTATAAAATAAAAATTCATATTATTTTTATTAGATTTTTTTTATTTAATTATATAATAATACACCTATTATTATTAAAAATGTTATTTTTTTAATTCTTTACAATAATTTATTTAAACTTAATAAATTTTATGCCAATTTATTAAAACATTAATAGACTCTTTAAATTGTGAATTATATATATATATATATAATTTAATTTGTATATACAGTATAAAAATACATTTCTCATGCATTTAAAACATATAAATTTGATTACTCTTTTTTTTAAATACATAAGTTTTTGAAAATTTAAAGCAATATACTTTAAATATAATATTGATTTTTCTTGAAAAAGAATCTTAAACATTACCTTTTACAATTTTACATAAATAAAATTCAATAAAAACTTTTTAATTTTCATTAATTTTTATATAAAATTAGGTTTGGAACCTTTTTAAGCATCTTATATCGCTACTGATTCTTTTTATTAATTATATAAAATTCTTTATTGAAGATTGTGTTTATTAACGTTTTTTTAAAGGAAAAATTGCTCAGAAATCCAAAAAAACGACTTTTTTTAAGTTAAGAATTATTAAAAGAACATTGGGTTGGTAATTTTTATAAAAATCCTCATAATGTTGCAGAAAAAGTCTATTTATAGAATATTCACGAAAGATTATATCAAGAAATTATAAAACATGATTAAGTACATATTTTTTTAAAAACCGGTTCACTTCAAATAATTTATTATGGTTTGATATACAGAATAACCTGGTGAAATGGCTTATAAAAATAAAAGTGGGTTGACATATAATTACTAAGCGCCTCCTGCCACTGGTCTAGTAAAAAATTTTAAGGCTAGAGTTTAGGATATTTAAAGGTTTAGTATTGGAGGATTATTGAGTGAGTTTTAGGTTGATTGAGTGGATTTATAAGCCTTTTTAAGATTTTAATTGATTTACATAATGTATGGTTAGTAATAATGGATTAAAAATAAAAAGGGAATGTGATTAAAGTATTTATATTTAAATATATATATATATATATATATATATATATATATATATATATATATATATATATAATATCTAATATTTTTTTTTTGTTTTTTTTATATGTATTATAAATGTTTATTTACATATATTATTTATTTTATATGATAATTTTGCTTTATGTTTTTAATAAATTTAGTGGAATTATTAATTATATTTTAAATAATATATAGAATGTGGTAATAGTATTATTTACTTTATTTAAGAGTTTTATTATTAAATGAGGTTGATGTTTAGTTTAATGGATTGGTTTATTGCTAATTTAGTTAAAATAGTATTGTTATAAATAGTAAATAAGGAGCTTTATATGGAGACGATATATATGTTATTATTAAAAATATAAAATAATGATAAAGACAAATTGTGTTTATTTTTTATATAACTTTTTTTAAATATATTAATTGATTTAGATATTTTATTTATTTTTTTAAAGTGTTTATTTATAAATAATTTTTTAAAAAAAAATATTTACCTTTATTAAAATAATTAATAAAAAAATGAGTATTAATTATATATGTATAAAATTTTTATTATATATTAAAAAATTAATAGTATGTAATTTAAGAAAAAATTTTAAAGTTAATTTATTAAAGTATTATTTTGAACAGAATAATCTTATTATTAAAATTTTCTCAATCTAACTCATTTACTTCTTCAAGCCATTTAATTCTTTTTCCATCTTCCCAAAGTCCGATTTTAACTTCACCATTTGGAAGCACATACTTACCTTTTCCATTTTATCTAAAAAAAAATGTATAATTAAAATTAAATAAAAAAGACTATTTATTACTTTCCGTAAGCCCAAAAACCTGTATATTATCTCCCGTCAGCCCAAATATAAGTACCTAATCCATGTTTCTTATCATATTAATAATATCCTTCGTATTTTCTTCCATCTTTCCAAGTATAAATACCTTAACCATGCATATTATTATTTAACCATTAACCTTCATATCTTCTTCCGTCTAGCCAAGTATATATTCCATATCCTGAAATTCTTATTCAATATATTAATATATGAATACAAAGATTTATATATATAAATATATATTTATAGAAATATATAAAAATAAATATATATATATATAATATATATATATATATATATATATATAATTTTTTATTTTTTTTTATTATATATATTTATATATATATAATTGAGTATTTATATATTATATATATATATTTTTATTCATTTAATATTATTTTTATATTTATAAATATAAATTTATCTATAAAATATACTTGTTTTCATACCAATCTCCTTCATATTTAGATCCGTCAGACCATAAATACGTCCCATTACCATGTTTTCTTGTTTCTTTATAATATCCTTCATATTTAGATCCATCTGCCCAGGTTTCTATACCATATCCATCTTAAAGATCGTTTTTCCATTATCCATCATATTTTGCTCCATTAGTATGAATATACATACCTTTTCCATTCGCTTTATCATCTTTCCATTAACCATCATATATATCTCCATCTACATGGTAAAATTTACCGTATCCACTTGCTTTATTAATTAACCATTCTCCTTCATATCTAGCACCATCTGCCCATGTTTGAATACCAAAACCATCTCTTACATTTCCTTTTTTTAATTTTAATATTTTATTTCATATATTATTATTATTTTTGTTAAGACTTTTTTAATGTCTTTTTGCTTATATTTTTTAAAAAAAAAATAATAAAAATTAAACCTTTCCATTCTCCTTCATATATTGCACCTGTTTTAAATTAATAAGGAGATCTTTTTAACCTTTAATTATAGTTTTTGTAACTTAATTATAATGTTTCTTAATATTCCTCTGCTGTGAAATATCGTTATTCATTTTCATTTCCTGTAACATTATTTTAATCATCATATTAAGGTTCTTCGGCAAATTAACTTTAATTTTATTATTACCTAAAAGAACTTAGTTATTATTATTATTGTATTTAAGACTCTTGATTTTGGGATTTTTGAGAATTTAACACTATAATATTGTTTATATTACTAGATTATTTTTCACTTTAACGACCAGAATATAATTGGGCTGTAGCACCGTTATCGACTATAGGATCGGTAGTAAATTCGTTTTATTTATCCCCTTTTTAACATGTTGTACAAGCAGAACAATCTTATCCCATATTATGTAATTTTTATATTATTTTTTGATGACTTTTTTATTGAATGTTAAAAAAATATCGATAATATATTTTTAAATTTAAACAATATTGTTGCTTTTTTATTTATTTAAATTTTTTTTTTTTTTTAGTGCAATATATATTTTAAAAATTAATAATAATTTATTTATATTATCATTTAACTTTTATTATATATTAATATATTAAATCACTTAATATAAATTATATATAAAAGCTTTTATTTTCAATAATATCAGTATATCTTTTAATATGCTTTTTTAATTAATTACTAAAGTACTTGAAACTTTCATTAAACATAATTAATTTATAATGAATATTTAAAAAATTAATATCTTCACAAATATTTTTTAGGTTTATTCTGCATTAAAAATCTTCTTTTTTTTAAAAAAATTAATTTTCAATGTGAAATATATATTTCTTAGAATTTTATCTCCAAGTAATAAATTTACTAGAGGCATACAAACCGTCTAAAAAAGCTTTATTTTTCATATTATTTGCCATATTTAATTATTATCTTTTCAAAAATAAAATCGCTTCAGGTGTACTTGTCAAATTGCAAATATTACAAACATAGTTTTCATTTGAATTATGCTCTCCGTACATTACTATTCCGAAATTTATTGATACTTTTGATTATAAAGGGTATATTTTTAGTGCTATGGTAGTTATTATGCTTTATATTGTTAATAATATGTTATCTTCTTCTAATCTTTATGAATTTATTATGTCAGAAAAACAAAATACTATATCTATATTTTATTCTAATGGTTTTATTAGAAATTTATCTATGTTTATTATTTTTGATATTTCAGCAAATTTTTACTGGCTAGGCTATTTTTCTTAATTTTTTTTAAGTTTTTTTTATTTTTTTTCAAGTATTTAAATTTCTTAGTCTTCTTAGTCTAATATTATACAACTTTTATCCATAAATTAGTTTTTTTTTTTTTTTTTTTTTATAATATTATTTTTATAAATTATTATCTATTTTTTTTTTAAAAAATATTTTTTATTTCAATTTTTTAGAATTTATTATTAATATGTAAATTTATAATTATTTTTTTAATAAAATAAATAATAAAGAAAGTGCTCATTTTTTCTTTTTTTTATTATCAATCCCTACCCCTCCTATTCCATTTATATTTATATAATGTCTCGCTTCTAATACATCTCCAAATTTATTCTTTTTAGAATAATCAAGCACTACTATTTAATATTTTCCAGGAGGAAAATCTTCTGGAAATTCCAAATTTTCAATTGTAGCAACTCCATTAATATTTTATATAATTAAAGCCTTTTTTTTAATAAATATTTGTGTGTGTTTTTTTTTTTATTTTAATTATTAATAAAATAAGGACTTTTTCTTTATCAGTTTCCGAAGGATTAAATAAGTTAACTTTTAATTCATCTTCCTATTAGCCTTATTAAATATTTTTTTAGCTTCTTTTTTTGGAGGAGCTTTTTTAGCGTTTTTTTTAATATCTTCTTGGTTTTGTTACTTTTTTATTTTATAATTTTAAATTATTTTTAAGAATTTATTTTTTACTTCTAAAAGTTCTTTTTCACGAAGGGCTTCTTATTCTCTTTCTAGTTTAATTTTTTCTATTTCTTATCTTCTATTTTATATTAATTGTCTATAATCGAATCTAAATTTAAGTATTTTCGGTTCTTCTTGTTCTTTTCCTTTTTCGGGAATTTATTATTGTACTATTTTTTATTTTATTTTTAGATAAAGTTTTTTTTTTATTTATTTTTAGAAATAACTTAGTTCTATTTTAATTTTTCTTCCTGATTCACAATTTACTGCTTCCTTTATATTTTTTTTTTTATTTATTTTTTCATGTTTTTATTAGATTTTTTTTGTTTATTTTAAAATTAATTACTGGAGGTGGTTACATCATTTTTGGTTAATTAAAATCAGGCATAGGTGGTGGATTTTTAATTTTTTTATTATCTTTCTGCCATTATTTTATCATTTCTTCAATTTATTCCTATTTAGGTTATTAAGGATCAAGGATATCAGGACCTTAATAAGCAGTAAAAATCTTTTTTTTATTATATAAAAAAGTTAAAATAAATTTATACCATATATAATTTATTTTTATTTTTATTTTATTTAAAAAATAAAAAAACATTTATAGTGATTGGTTTTCCACAAATTTCATATTCAATACAAGGTAAACTATCCTCAGGATTTTTATTTTTATCGTCTTTTTTTTTATCATTTCTATTATTTTCTATAACTTCATTATTGATTTCTTGTTCAGTTTTTAATTTCGATTCTTCAATAATAAATATATTACTAACAACTTTTTTTTTATTTTAATATATATATATTATACAATAAAGTAATTTTTTTATAAAATAAAAAATACGCTAAGGAACATCTTCTGCGAAAATTCCTTCATAAATAAAATTTGATTTCAAAAAAATAAATTTCCCTTTTCCATTTTTTTTATTTTCCTTAAATTCTCCTTCATAGATATATTATTCTTCATTATTTTCAAAAATACCTTATAAATTTTTAATATAAGAAAAATATTTATTTATAAACAGAATAATACCTTATCCATCTTTTTTCCCATTTTTCATTTCTCCTTTATATTTATTTCCATTAGAATATGTAATTTCACATTTCCCATGTGGATTATGATTAAAAAAATATCCATCAATAGTTTCTCCATCACCCATAATTAAGTAACCTTTTTAAAGTAAAAAAATTATAACATATCTATATTTTATTATTATACCCTTTCCATGTCTTATATTATTTTACCATTCACCTTTATAAATTTCACCTGTTTTTGCAAAAAACTCTCCATATCCATCTTTTTCTCCAAACTTAAATTCTCCTTCATAATAATTTCCATTTGAATATTACATTTTTCCTCTTCCATTAATTTCTCCTTTATCAAATTATCCCTTATTTTTTGTTTGTTTTATTTTTCCCTTTTTTTTTTTTTTTAAAAAAAAAAATACTTCATAATATGTTCCATCTTTCATTCTTAAAACACCTTCTCCTTATTTAACTCCATTTTACCATTATCCTTCATATTGAAAGTAATTATTTTAATAGGTAAATATTCCAACTCCGTTTCTTTGTTTTGTCCATAAATCTTTATCACCAACATAATTCTTTTTTTTATTTTTATAATTAATAAAAAAATATTTAATTTTAATAATTAAATTATATTTGCAATTTTTCTGTTAAAATTTATATTTTATATCTGCTTTTTTATATATTTTATAAAATAAACAATACATCACGAGTTTATTTTATTGTTTTTTGCATATTTTTATTCTCTTTTTATTTTAATTTTTTTATTTTTCTTATTTGAAACTTATATTAATATTTTTTGTTTTTTTTAGTAGATTCTTTTTTTTTTTTTAGAAAAATTTATTATTTTAAATTAATTTATTGTACGTTTATATATTATATTATTTATATGTATTTATAAACAAAATTAAATGTAATTATTTATTATTTTTCACATTTATTAATTATCCTATAAATAATTATTATAAAGTTAATTATTTTATTATTTATAGTTAATATCTTTTTATAGTTTATCAATTTCATTTATTTGATCTTGATTTATATTAATTTAATTTTACTATTGTTTTTCATTTGTAATATTAATTTTATTCTTCTTATTAAGTTGATAACTTTTTATTTAAATTTATTTATCTTTCTTATTATTATTATAATTTCGTCATTTTTTTATTACTAAAATTAATATCTTCTGAAATTTACTTCATTTTAAAATTAAAAAACTCTTGTAATTCTTATTTAGAAATTATTTATTTTTCTTAGTTTTAATCATGAAATTATTTTTCTTAATGTTAAATTTAATATTCCTTCTTTATATTCGGAAATATTCTATTTTTTAAGCTTTCAGACTTTATTTAATATTTATTTTTTTATATATACTTTTTCTATTCATTTTTATTTGTTTGATCTTTTTCAATTAAAGCTTCATCGTTATTTGAATTTTTTTAAAAAATTATCGTATTTTTTTAACTTGATAATTAACTTTTTTATTTACTATTATTCATATATTATGAATTAACATATATGTTGCTTTTGAATTGATTTTTTTCACTTTAAAAATTATTAATTTTTTAATTTATTAATATAAATTCAAGTAATTATTATAAAATAGATTTTATTTTACATTATTTTGCTGATGTTTTAAGAATTTAATAAAATGTTTTTTTATGTTTGATTGATATATTTCGGCCTATCTAAATATTTTTCTTTTATAACCTTTAATTATAATATTTATTCGTTTTTTATTACTTTTATAAAAAAATACTTAAATATCTAATTTAAGTTTTTATTATTATGATAAAATTTTATATTTTTTTGTATTTCTAAGCTACTGTATTTTTTATTATAAATTTTCATCGTCTTGTCTTTGAAGTTTTATTAATCCAACTTATTATAATAATTTTTATCTCTATTTATTTTTGAAAAAATACTCCAAATTTTAATCTCTAAGCATTTAATAATTTTACAATTAAGAATCTTATCTTATACAATCTACAATAAAGTTTTTTTTCTATTTTATTTTATTTGAAAAAAAGAAAAGAAAGATAAAAAAATTGGATTTTTAAATAATACAATAGTTCTTTCTTTTGCTTATTAACTATTTGATTAAATCATTTTTTTATTATTATAAATTTTTTAAAATATTTATTAAATTATATTTAATAAATATTTTACAAAAAATAAAATTTTTGAATATAGTGTGAAAAGAAAATACATATTAAATTTGTTATTAATAAAAATTAAAAATATGATAAATTCAATAAATATTTTTATATAATATTAAAAACCAATAAACTTATAATAAAATAGATTTTTACACTATTCTTTACATATATAATATTTTTTTTGTTAAAAAAATACTAAATAAATTTAACAAAGGTTAAATAAAAACTTAAATATTTAATATTTTTTATTTATATATATTAAAATAAATTATATATTCATTATAATTTAAATGTTTAAAATATCTTATAGAATTAAAATTAGACAGACAGCTATTTTTAAATTATATCCTTTAATAATATAATAGCGTATTTTTTAAGAAAAATACGAATGTATATTAAAATTCAAACTCTAAAATAATAAATAAAATTTATATATAGATATTTATAAGATTAAAGATATTTAATCAAATTATTTAATAATAAAAACAAAAAAATACTAGAATTATATTTTTTTATAAAATAAAACAAAAGCCTAAAAATATAAAATTAATAAAATAATTAAAAAAAAAATATATAAAAGTATCTATAAAAAATACAAATAACTTAATTTTTTAGAAAAGTGAATAAATAATATAAAATTTAAAAATATAATTTAAATAATAATTAATATATTTAAAAAATGTATTTTTTAACAAAATATTGCTATTATTTAAGCAAATATCCATTACCAACAAAATTAATAACTTCAGGAACACTATTTGGACTAGGAGATTTAATAGCCTAAAAAGCAATAGAAAAAAAATAGAAGCACGAATATTAAAGAACACTAAATTTAATTATTTTTGGAGCATTTTTCGCAGCTCCTGTATTACATGTATGGTATTAAAAGCTGCCCATATTTTGTGAATAATATATATTTAAAAGATATTAAAATCTTTCGAAAATTCAATAATCAATAATAGAAATGTCTATTGATTAAACTGTTTTTGCATTTAATTTTAATATTATGTTCTTTATATGTATTAACTACTTAGAATATTATTCTCTTGATAGGGGTTTTTAAGCTATTAAAAATAAATTAGGCGAAACTATGATTGCAAATTGGTATATTTGGCCTTTAGCTTAAATTATTAATTTCCAATATGTTCCTTTATAATATAGAGTTTTATTTGCTAATATTATTGGCTTATTTTGGAATGTTTATCTTTCATATATTTAACATAGAAAGAATTGATGTTTTATTATAAATATAAATATGTATATTTTATTGTATTTATTTGTTATTTTTTATGATTTTAAAATAAAATAGTTTTTAGTATTTAATAAATATATTTTTTTTTATTAAATATATAATTAAATAGAATATTTATTTTTAATTATTAAATATTATAAAATGTATTATTTTATTAATAAACATATATAAATAAAATACATTTTCGAAATATAATTATCTAAAAATAAAATTATTTATACTTTTTATAAATTATTAATCTTTTTAAAATATTTAAAATAATTTTTATTTTATTGAAGAAATTTTTTTTTTTTAAATAAAAAAAATAATTTTTTATTTTACTAATAAAATTTCACTAATATATATATTTTTTATAAAAAAAATTATCTAGTTTTATTTTTTTGATTATGTTTTTTTATTTTTTTTAATTAAAATAAATCATTCTTAAAAGTAATAATTTATAAATGTTTTAATATTTTATTTTTTATATTTATCTTTTTACTAATAGTTTATTTAATTCTATATAAACCATTCTGGTTGCCTTAGAAATATTAAAATTATTGCATAAGAAATATTTATTCTTATTAGAAATTTTATCTTTAGAAATCTAATACGATAATTAGATTTTTCTTAATAAATAATTATAAAATGTTAATTTTTAAATACTATTTTATCTATTTAATATTCTAAAAAATTATTAACTATTTAAATCATATAAAAATCTTTAAAAATAAAAATGAACTCATAAGTTATAGAAACCGAATTTAAAAAATGTTTATACACTAATAGAAGTATAGTCTCTAAAAATTTCCTTCTAAAAAAATAAAATATAAATAAGAAAATTATAAACAGAAAATAAATAGAATATGATAGCACATAAACTTTAAAAAAATAATCCAATATAAATTTTATAATTATGCTTTTGAGAATTTAAAAAAAGTCTAAGTTTCTAAAAAGTAGGCATCCAGATATAAAAAATTGCCTTTTTTTCTAATACAATTATCCTTTAACCAGGAAAGAATTAAATTTTAATAAAGTTGCTATAATAACACTAAAAATGACTTACTAATATATAATTTAGTCTTTTTAAATGTAAAAGTAAAATATATTAAAGAATCATCATTCCCAATAATATAATTATTTTGATTTGATTATTCAAAAACACAATTTTATGGCGTAATCTTTTTCTGAAACTTTTCCTTTATATTCAGCGCTTTGTTAAATATAAAATTTTAGTTTTTTTTTAGACAAATAATTGGATAAATATTAGACTATTAAGTTAAAACAAGTTTAATTTTTTTAATTATTATTTATTATTTTTTTAATGTTTATATATATATAAATAATATATATAAATATAATATTATTAGAATGAAAGTTTACATAATATTTATAATTTAAATATAAATTATAATTATATAATTTTTAGTTAATATTTATAATCAATATAATTATATATTTGACAAGCAAAAGTAAAAAAGATTCTTTAATAAAAAATAAATATTAATTTATATAATTTAAATTATTAACTTAAAGTTATTATTAAGTAAAGATAATCTATTAATTTTATAAAGTATATTTAATTTACATAAAAAATAAAATATAGAAAGTATTTTTATTAGTAGTTAAAATAAAAAAAGGCCACATTAATTTATTAAATTTACATAAATAAAAAGAAAATAAATAAATGCATTTCATTTTTTATTTTCCCTTTTTTATTAATCCCTTATATTTTTGATTTATTATTCGAGATTAACCTATAAAGGATCAATTTTAATGCCTTCTTAAGTAGTAAGTTCTTATTATTCTTATTTTAAATATTACTCTATATCATTTTTAAAAATTGGATACAAAGAATCAAAGACAGTATCAATATTTCTAACAGAGACAATTTATCCTTTTTTTGTAAAATAAATAAAAAGTAATAATTAAATTATAATAAAACCTGCAAAATGAACACTAATGACAAAAGCGAAAAATTTTCTTATTAAAGATTATTTTTTTAAAACAGTACAACATAAAATACTTCCAAATAAAGATCCAAAGGCAAATCCATTTTTTCTAATTTTATTTTAATATTCACCAACTAAATTAACAAAAACAATTCTATTATCTCTTTATAAATTTCTATTATAGATTATTTATTAGCTTAAGCTTTAACATTTTAAATACGATTTCGGGTCTAAACTTATTTTTTAACATTTCAATTCTTCTTCACCTTATTCTAATGCAAATTTTTTTCTTCCTTATATATCTTTGTCCATTTCAGTTTTGTTCTTTTAATACATGTACCTTAATGCTTATTATTTTTATCTGAATGAAAAGTCATTCTTTGATATGTATTTTTGACCAAATATATTTGTGAAAAAATTATTTATATCATTATATGCTACTTCTATATATTTTTAAAATCTTGATTCTATTCCTGTATATTACTATTAATTATATTGCTCTAATAATTTTTGCTTTAATTCTTCTTTTTTATATTTTAAGATCTATTCTTAGGCAGAATTTTCCTGTTTTTTCGGTTCAGAGGGTTTTTAAGGTAATATAAATTCTCGGACAGTATGGGTTTAAATTTAATTATTGGTTTTATTTTCCATTTTTTTTAATATATTTTTATATTTTTTATAAAAATAAAATTAAGATATAATTAAATATTTTTATTTTTTGAAATTATAAAAGATAATTATATAATAAACAAAAGGAAATGTTTAAATTTTAATATAAAAGATAATAGTCAATTTTTTTTAAATTTCTTTCTATTAAACAAAGAATATTATTTATTTTATTTATTAAAATTATAGTATTTGTAATTAGGATTATCATTATATTCTTGAAAAACAAATTAGTAATTATTGTGTGGAAAATATATTTAAAAATTTTTCTATTTATCAAAAAAATCTAAAATATAAAAAGGAAAATGTTTTTATTCTTCGATTTTAGAAAGACTTTTATTATATTTATTTTTAAGCGTTTATTAAATATCTATAAGTTTTAAAAAGGAAGATTATTTTTTAATCCTAAATGGAGAAATATTTGAATTTGATTATTCTTTAGAATTAATTTAAAAAACAATTTTCTATTCTATTTGTTATTATTATTATTAATAATTTTATATATTTTATTCAAAAGAATAATCGGAATGATTATCAACTAATTCATTTTAAAAAAATTAATCAATAAATTATCTTCTATCAATTTAAAATTAAGAAATGCTTTCTTTTATATATTTATTTTCACTTAAAGTATAAATTAATGATTATTCATGTCTTTAAAACTTAGTTCTTTAAACAATTTCTGTACTAAAATTAGTCTTTAATTTTTATATTATAATATATATATATATAAATAAGTATATAAATATATATATTTATTAATTGTATATTTATATTATTTATTTATATATATATATATATTATTTTATATTAATATAATATATTTATAAATTTATACTTTTAATATAACATATTCTTTATTAGGTTAATAGTGTACTTGCTTACAATATAAAGATATATGTCCATTTTTTTCACAACTACCACATTTACTCTTAAACATATCTATATTTTATTAAAACTGAATTTTATCTTTTATTAAGCAATATTTTTGGTAATCTTCTGGATAGTTTTTAATTATATTAATAAAGTTTGTTTTTGATATTTCTAAAATTTATGTTTGTCCTATTGATTTTGCGTTAAAAATTTTATCTTAATTTCCAAAAAATTCTAGTTCTCCGAAAGATTATGACTTTTATAATTCTTAAATTTAAATATTGTTTTTTTCAATTGAAATAGTACCATTTTATATAAAATATAATTTATCATTTTTATCACCTTCTTTATATATATATTCTTCGTTTACAAAATCTATCTAATTAAATTATAAACCTTTTTTTTTGTTAATATTATATATATGATAATAAATTTTTAATAATAACTTAGATTTCTAATAAACTTTTCTGAAAAATTATCCTTGAAAATTCTAGATTTATTTAATATTTATAAATTTATACTTAATTTGATTTTATCTTTAATTTCATTTGACAATTTATTATAAATTTCTTTTTCTTATTATAAAGTTAAATTATTATCCACTTCAAATTTGTATTCTAAATATTTTCTTATTTCTAAAGCTAATTATTCACTAATATTTTTAGATATTAAATATCTTTTTTTTTGTTTATTTTTTTTTTTTTTTAAAAAAAAAATTAAATCTTTTTTAAAATTAAATAAACGAAAAAAAACCTATTTACAATTGTCATTTCTGTTGTAAATTATTTTTCTTTTTTATTTAATTCTTATACTATAATCCCAATTGTATTAAACGAATATGCAAATATACCACAAGAAATCAACATAAAAACAGTATAAATGACAATTTCATAAATATTCGCAGGATTAATATCTCCCAAACCAACAGTAGTCATAGTAGTAACAGCCCAATAAAAGGCATATACATATTTAGTAAACCAACCTTTAATCTAAAGAGCTGGATCATATTTTTTAGTCCATGTATTTTCTACGTCTAAATGAATATCTATTCCAATAAATCCACAGGCGAACATATGCCCAACAAAAAGGACAGTAAAGGAAACTCTAAGAATTTTAATAAAAATATAAAATTTATTTTAAATTTAAGAATATTTAACGAAAAATCTCGAAACGCTTTTAAGTTTTAACAAAATAAGAAAATTTAAAGTTTAAACTATTCCTGTATATCCTCTATCACTTAAAAAAAGAGGAATCAAACTCAAAATATCATATATTAAGTTATTATCAATATATTTTTTAATTATTTTAGATTTGTCCATAACACATAGTCCTTTATCAAAATATCCTATATTAAAACTAATAATTATTTATAATATAAAGACTAATATGGATAATTTACTAAAAAATAACCTTTTATTTTTATATATATAAAAATAAAATAAAAAAAAAATATATATATTTAAAAATAAAAAAAAACCATTTTGTTCCATAAATTTATAAAAATTATGAATTTGCAACTGCTTCTATTGGTAAATAAGTAATTAAAAAAATTGTATTTATAAAATGAAGAATATCAAAAGCTAAAAGCTTAGGTGAGTTAGGGGAAAAAACAGGAACTTTTTAGATTAATTAACGTAAAAAATTTAAATTTAATTATTCCATATAGAATTGCTTTTTTTAAATTTTATTTGAAAAATCATTTATTAATAATAATTAGTTTTTAGTTGGAAAAAATAAAAAACTCTTTATTTTTGTAATAAAAAGAATCGTATATACACATGAAAGTAGCTTTTTTAAATGTAAAGGTAAAATATTTTTAGAAATTTTTTATGATGAAGAAACTTGTACTTATGTAACTAGTTTTTAAGGTAATCCGAAAAAAAATTATTGCTAATCTTTTACGAAAATACTTCTGTGTCGATTTTTTGAATCTTTTGAAATACATAATGTATTTTTAAGGCTATTATTCTAATTATTTGTATTTTTATTTTTAATTTATGTATCTATTATCCTTTTTATCTTTTAATTTATTATTTAAGAATCTTCGATTGAACTACTATTGCTTGATGAAGATTTTTTATTTGATGAATTCTTTTATTCATTTTTTATTTCAAAGTTATCGTTTATATCCTGTAATATTTTAAATTATGGCTTTTTGAAATCAGGGGTTTCTAGTTTTTATTTTATAATAAAACTATTGTTATATGTTTAGTTAATAATGATTTTTAATTATATACTTTTTTTACTTGTTTTTTGTATTATTAGTTTTTTAATTTATTTATGTTGTATTAATTGTATTTTCTTCTTAAAAATTATTTTATTTATTTATCATAATAAATTATATATTTTGCATTTTTATTTTTTTTCTTCTTTTAAATTATAATTTTATTTTATAATTATATTTTTAAATTTTAAATGTTTTTTATATTTATTCTATAAATATATTATAAGAAGAAAAATATTTATAAATATAATGTGATAAATAATTCTATTTTTTTAGTAAATTTAAAATTTCTAATAGTTCATAATAAAATTTATCTGTTTAAAAATTAGTATTAAATATATTATATAATTAAAATTAATTTTGAGTTAAATAAAAGTTTAATAAACAAAAATTATTAAAAATAATAATTTAAAATATATTATAAGAAAATATATATAAAAATATATATAAAATATATTATTATATATATATATATAATTGTATATATATATATATATATATATATTATATATTACTTATCATTTCAAAAAAAAATAATAATAGCCAAAATAAAACTTAAATATATAAAAAATAAATGAATAGTACCATTCTTTGTAGTAATTTACGAATTCCTTAAGATCGCCTACCAATAAGCTGCCGAAGTTTAATAAACATAAATCAAATACATACATATACCTAAAGTAGATGTGGATATTGTCATAAAACACAATGGAAAACAAGTGGATTTGACTGTGCATAAATGTAATTGAAAGATTATCAATTATTGCTAGATAGAGGTTGGAGAAGATGTGGCACATATTATTATAAGCCTGATTTTAATACATGTTGCTGTTAAACATATACTATAAGGATAAATGTTACTTAACATACATACAATAATTCATAAAAAAAAGTTTATAGAAAATTTTAAAAAATGTTGGAAAAACCTTCTAAAGTAGATGAGAATGAAATAAGTGAAAGTGAATAAAAAAGTGATGAAAAAATATTTAAATATGATAGAAATTAAATTCAGTTAATTGATGATTAATTAAATATTGAAATTAAGGAAAGAGTAATGGTCACATTGAAAATTTTTATTTAGAAAATTTAAGATAAAATAATTGAATTTTTCCAAAATCTTGAAATTTAAGAAAATCCGAGTCTTATTTTAGACAATAGGATTCTAAATAAATGCAAAGTATATAATAATAAGAACTTTGTAAAATATGGGACACATTCTACGAATTTTATGAGTATTTTATATAGGGAAAATTGTGAAATATTATAGTAATATTTTAAGAAAAAATATGATTTTTTCGAAAAATCTTACCTTTTTTTGGACTGTATTTTAAATTAGGCAATTTAAGAAAGTGAAGAGAAAATATTAGATTTAAAATTGAGTCATTTTGGAGAAATAAATATCTTTTACAAATGTGATTTATTTTAATAGAAATTAAAATAATATTTAATGTTAAAAAATAATTCAAATAAACATTATAAAATAAATAAATAAAAATAAACTTTTATGCCTTTAATAAAAAGAAATTTTGATATGAGAATTTTAAAGGCTTAATTTAATGAGGATAGTTATTAATTATATAAAAAATACAATAGAATTATACATGATAATAATAAAACTTCGAAAGAAAGCTATAAGAATTTTCTATGTTTATAAGCCTTGAAATATGAAGATGATGAGGGCTTATATGGCAAAAAAATTAAATATGGATGTTATCATTTTAAGTATTATATAGATGAATAATTGATTGCGGTTAGTGTCGTGGATATTTTGCCGAATTGCCTTTCAAGTGTTTATTATTTCTATGATCCAGATTATAAAAAATATAGTTTAGGAGTTATTGGGAATTTAAATGATATTGAACATGTAAAATAATAACATATTTATTTCCCAAAGTTTGAATATTATTATATTGGATATTATATTCATGGAAATAATAAGTTATAATATAAAACTAATTTTAGACCTTTTGAGATATTATCTTGTATTACTTATAGATGGTATAAACTTGATAAAATGACTGATAATGATATTTTTAATGCTTAAAGTAATAAATATAAAGATATGGTTATTGAAGATATGGATTTTTCAAATGAAGATATTGAATAGTTTGTCTAAAAGAAAATTTAATTGTATATTGGAGGAAAGTATGTGGAAATTAATAGAATTAAATAAAGCTTTATTAATTATTTCAAATATTTAATAGGATAACTTGTTATTATTTTAGGTAAATAATTATCTGAATCATTGGTTTTTGGGTAATATTGATTAAACTATTATAATTTATAGTCTCTTTTTTGATTATTTTCAATAAAATAAATTATTTAATATATTTAAATTGTTTTTTTTTATATAATTAGAATTTTATATTTATTAATATATATTTATTATTAATTTTCTACAGCATTTTATATTTTATTTTTTAATTAGATTTTCATGTTATTTTATTCATAAAAAAACCTTATCCTCTTATATTTTATTTATTAACTTCAAACTAGTTAGTTGGTTTTTATTTAGTTTAACATTAATTAAAATATGTTTGACTATTTCTAATAATATATTTAAAAATTAATTATGTTTATTTTATTACATTATAAACTGATTATATTTTTAACTAATCTAGGTTTTAGATTTACTATTACTAAAACTATACTATTACATTTATAAAAATTTTTATTCATTCTTTTTTTAAATAACTTGACTTAAATTTTTCATATCAACAAAAATTTTTTTTTATTTATAGTTTGAACGTTAGTTTTGTTAAAAGTTTGAAAAATCAAAAGAATTTTAATTAAAATTTTAACTTTTTTACAAAAAGGTTCTTATTTCTTTTAAAATTATATTATAATTAAATATATAAATTTATACGTTTTTAAAAATATGACTTTTTATTTAAAGTATTTTGATTGTCTTTTAAATTATTACTTAAATATATTTTATTTTAGTTAAGATAAGAACTCTTTTAATCAGTTGAAATTTGACTGTTTAGTTTTTTATTATCAGAATAATCCTAAAGAGTAGTTTAAGAGAAAATTTTTTATCTTTTAAAACAAAAATTTTGATTTTCAAGATTTTTATTAGATACGTTATTTTTTGAACTAAAATAACCAAATAATAAAAATTAATTATTTTTTAATAAAAATATTTACTTATTTTAAATAAACCTATTTAAAAATGAAATTACTTATTAATAAAATTAAAAAGGCCTAAAACTATTATGTCCTCCTTCAAATTCAATACATTTTTTATTTAAAGATTTACAAAAATTAAACATATTTTTAGTATGATAATTTAATATGAATTCATCATTCTTAGAATATGCAAATAATACAGGACATTTAATTTTTTCTACTTTTAAACAAATTTTTATATCAAAAATATCTACTCCATTTAAAACTTCTTTTATTTTATTTTATATTAACATAAAAATTCCGTCGAATATAATTTTGTTAATTTTCATTTTTCTTAGTGCTATTTCTTATATTAATTATTTTAAATCACTAAAACCACTATCTAATATTAAACAATCTACTTATGTTTCACATAAAATAGCAGTAACAGCACCCATACTTTTTTATTTTTTTAAATATTTATTTTTTAATATAATAGATTAATACCTTCTTCCCCATATTATTATTTAACCTATATTTTTTATTAAAAGCTTTATTTAACTAATTACACATTCTAAATCTTTACTTTCATTAAATCCCATAGTTACATATTATCCTTCGCTTTTTCCAGATCCTGAAAAATCAAAACTTACTAATGTAAATTGAGGCATTACATGATTTATTATTGCTGTAGATTCTACTCTAGAACCTTAATTTCCATGTAAATATATAATACAAGGTTGGAATTTTATTAAAGTATTTTATAAACTTTGATATATAGTGCATTATAAATTTTAATTTTTTTAATTTTTTATTATTAAGTCTTTTCGTTATATTATATGTCCATTAATTATTTATGTATTAGGTCCTTTTATATATATTTATAGGTTTATAAATATTTTTATTATGTATATATTCACCTAAATCCTATAAACTGTATTATTAACGTGAAGGTTATATTATATTTTTCCATATTTGATCGTATTTTTTTTTTATATTTATAAAAAAATCAAACATTTTTATTTTATAGTTATAAATTATATATAATTTATTCAACTTATTTAATAATAATAAATTTTATAATAAATATATAATTTTTTGGTTTTATATATTTTTTTTAATTTTTTAATATATTAAATAGATTAAAAGTCAATAAATTATTTTTATTTTATAAATTAAAAAATTAGACAGATTTTTGAATTTAATTTTTGGATTAAAAAAAAATAACTCATATTAATTTTTTATTTCCAAAATAAAATACTTAAAACAAAAAACTTTAAAGTATAATATTAAAAAATAAATAATAAAATTACATAAAATAATAAAAATAAATAAAATATATATATATACTTTATATACACTTATTTATTATAATTAAATAATAGATGTTAAATTTATAAAGTAAATCCACAGAAAGCCATTAATCCTATAGATAAAAAGGAAAAGCCTTTGAAGGCAAAATATATAAAGGTTTACTTTTAGATGCCTTATCTAAAACCAAAGTAGGATCTATTCCTTCAAAACTTGAAACGATAGTATATAAAAATATAATAAATGCTGCATTCGGGACATCTGAATAAAGATTAAAAACAAACCAAAATGAAATTCCAGGTCCAGGACAATATTAAGAAATACAATCTGATAAATGTATAAAAAAAGAGAAAAATACATTTACAAATTCTAAAAGAAGCATGTTTTCATAAAAATATGTAAACACAGGTCCTGGTCCAGGATAATATAATTAAACAATTGATAAAATATAAGTTGGTTAAAATAAAGAAAATTAATCAAGATAATCAAGAAAAGGTTTATCAATGTTCATAGGAATAGGACGAAATAAATACACAAAATAATATACAAAAGAGTAAATAATAAATCCAGGACCAGGTGATTACTACCCTAAAATACCAATAAGAGGAAAAAACGAAAATAATTACAAAAGTTGTTTTTTGACAAAAAATAAAAGGGATTAATATTTAAATTTAAATGAGAATCCTTCACCTTGTCAATATGAAAATATTGAAATAAAATTTTAAAAAAATAATTCCCCTTCAAGTTTTTTTTCTTTACCAACTGTAAAACATGTCAAAAAAAATAATGTCTAAGAATTGCTGAATTATTTGAATCGTTCTTCAATTTCTTAAAGAAAGAAAAAAAAAATTATACCTGGTTTTTAAACTATACCTGAGGAAGAGGCTTTTTATCCAGGACCATAAAGTTATAATGTTTAAGTGCACAAAAATAATAAATTTAGTTAAAATTTATAATATACTGATAAATAAAAATTTGGGTTTTTGTATGAGTAAATTAAATAATGTAAGGATATACCAGGTCTGTAATCTTATAAAAAAGAGGATTATGGATTTAATTAATATCTTTAAAAAAAATCTTTGGTCGCAGGATCGGCTTTTATGTCTGAAGTTAGTAGAAATCCTTATGGGAATTTATAAAATAAAGGAGGATAGTTATTATTATTACCAAAAATTATTGATAGAAAATCATTTCATTTTAATTTATAAGGGATATGGGTTAAATGAGTGATTGTAATATGGAATTATTTTTTTGTAAAAAAAAATAATCTTATAATGAAATTTAATTTATATCTATAATATATTAAATTTAAAATAAAAAAATGTTTATATATATATATATATATATATATATATATATATATTTATATATAAATAATATAATGTTTATAAATAATAGAAAAATATAGATTAGTAAAGTTACAAAATATAATCTTATTAAATGCTTTTATTAACTTTTTTTAATTAAAAATTAAGATTATAAATTTTAATTTATTAAATTATAGTAATAAATTATTTCTAAAGAAAAAAAAAAAAATTAATAAAATCAAAAATGTTATTTTTTATTTTTATTCATTTATATTTTCTTTTCTAAAAAATTTAGAAAAAATTTATTTCTATTAATTTTAAATAATAACTATTATTAATTTAAGCAAATTAGAAAATTTATTAATAAAATAAATATCATTATGATTTACGATAAAAGATAAAATTAAAAAAAATATAATTTATTATTATTAATTAAATTATTAAATGTATGGAAAAATATTATATTAAATTAAATTTGTTTGTTTATAATTAAAAAATTTTTAATAATAATGAAAATAAAATTGTTTTATTATATTAAAAAATTTAATTTTATATAATTTATTTTTGTTTTATATTTAATTTTTTGAAATAAATATTATTTTATAATACAAGAATGGTACTAAAGATATTTTTTTAAAAAATTTATATAAAATAAATTTCGAATTATGAATTAATTTATATTTTTTTAAATAAAAATTATACATAATTTTATAATATGAAGAGAAAAAATTGAAAAAAAATAAATAAAAATAGTTTCATTTAAGTTTAATAAATAAAATATCATTTTTACATTATTGAAAAATATATATATGAAATATATATATATATATTTCAAAACTTAACAGAAAAAAAAAATTAATAATAATAAGTAAATCATATTATTTAGAAAAAAAAATTGAATGTATAAAAGATAATTATGAAATATATATTAATATGAATATTACTTTTTATATTTTTTGTAATTTTATTTTTAAAAACTTCATCATAAAAAATGTAATAGTTCATTATTTCTAGCCTTTTTGTCTATTTTGTTTATAAAAAAAATGTAATAATATTTAAAAAATTAATTTAATATAAATATTTTTTTTATTTCTATAAAAATATTTATATTAATACATATATATCATGTTTTTTTTTATAATAAATAATATAATTTATAAAATTTTTAAGACTATCATATTTAGATTCAATAACAGTAAAATTATTTAGAAGAATCTAAAAAAAGCTTAGAAAAACAAATTAAGTTGATAGAATCTCTTTAATAGAAATTGATACAAAATAATAATAAAACTTGTAATAAAAACTTAATCTAAAATGTTTAATAAGACTTATAAAAAAAACTATAGTGTGTAAATAATAAAATTATAGATTAATAATATAATGAAATATAATTAAATATTTTAAAATAAAACAATTAAATATAATAAAATAATTATTATGCATAATCGAAAATTATTTTTAATGAATAGTAAACTTTTGATAAATATACTATGCAAAATACTTAAAATATGTACTAAAATTAGTAAATTTTTCCATACTAAATTATTGTTTAGAGGCCTTTTGAAAACAATTAAATAAATATTTTTAATAATATACAATAATTTTCTAATGATAATAAAGCTTAATTAAATATCTAAAAATAAAGTTAGGAAGGTTAAAATTAAAAAAATTAAATAAATTAATAAGATTAAAGAGAAAAAAATAAAGAACTAAGGAACCAAAAAATTTAAAATATAAATATAAAAGATAAAATTTAATAGTAAAATTAAAAAAATTAAAATAAATAAATATAAAAAGAAAGTATATACAAGTAAAAATTATAAATTATATATATATATATATATATATATATATATATATATATATATTATATATATATATATATTTATATTTTCATATATATATTATTAAAAATCAATATATATATAATTATTTTATAAATTTCTTTTTTTTTTCTTTTTTTATAATCCTTAATTTATAAAAAACATATTTTTTTTCATATTTTATAATAATATAAAAAATATATTTTTTATTCTATTTTTTTGCATTTATAAAATATATTAAGTACTTAGAATTTACTAGAAAATTAAAATGAAAATATAGTTCCTAACAATAATTTTGTTCGATATAGAAAAACTATTAAATTACTAAATCAAAAAAACTAACATTAAAACGAAAATAACAATCGTGATTTTATGAAATAATTATAATTTAAGAATTAATTAAAAATATTTATGCTTTAATGTCTTAAGTTTGTTATGTATTAAATTTATTTAGATAAATAATAATTATATCCTACTGATGAATTGTTTAATTAACACATAAATATTTTATATTAATTTAAGTATAAATATAACAAAACAGACCTTTCTCATATAACTAAAAATATTGAAAAAATAAATAATCAAGAATTATAAAGTTTAATATAAAACTAAAAAAACATTTAATATAAATTTTTACATTTAAAATTTTAGACTATTAAAATTATTTTATCTCAAATAATAGATAATATAAATTAAAGTTAAATAGAATAGGAATTAGAATTATTTAATAATTATGAATACTTAATTTAAAATCAAAGTAAACTAAATGAATTAAATAAATACATAGATAAAATCAATTTTTTTAATAAAATTAATAGAATATATATGAATAAATTCTGTTTATATTAATCAGGATAATAAGCATGTAAAAAAAAAGCATGCAAAATTTAATAGTTATATTGTAAAAATTATGTAATGAGTATGTTAAGGCATCCAAAATATATAGAATGAAAAATAATGATTTCATTTATATAAAAAAATATATAAAAATTTATAATATTAAAGATATATATATATATATATATATATATATATATATATATATATATATAAATATATATATATATTATTTATTTATATATATTTTTTTATATTTATTTAAAATATTTTTTAATTAATTTTTCATTTGATATACTATTAGAAATATATATATATATTTTAAACATTATTATAAATATAAAATTTTAATTTATATTATTTTATTTTATTTTTAAAAAAAATATATTAATTATTTTTATAATCTTTTTAATTTTAATATATTACATTTTTAAATTTTTTTTTTTAAAAAATAAATATTTTAAGTTCTCATTCTCTTTTTTATTTTAATAAAATATATTTACTATTTCATTTTTATAATAATAAATTAAATTATTATATATTATTCTATTAAATTATAAATTATAATTTTATATCTTAAACACATAATTTTGATAATTTTTTATATAATATATTATTATATAATAATACTAATTTATAACTATTTATTCATTTATTTTTTAATAATAATATTTTAAAATAAAAATTATTATAAATTTTTATTTTTAATAAAGTAAATCTATAATTAATTATTTATATTATATCTTTGAAAAAATTATTAATTCTATATAGTATAATATTTTTATTTTATTTTTGTTTTAAATTATATATATATAAAATATATAGAAAAATAAAAGAATAAATATATACAAATAAAATCAAATATTTATAGTATGTATTTAATAGTTTTTATAATATTAAAATATATATATATATTTCTGAATAATTATAATAGGATTTTTGATAATGAATCAATTAAATATATAATATTTAAAATATAATTAATATAAAAATATTTTTTATTTAAAAAAAATAAAATAATTATTTTTATAAAAATATTATAAAATCATTATAAAAAATCAAATAATTTCATCATCCAAACAATCTTTTTTTGATTTTCATTTTATAATTAATATTCAAGATTTTCTTTTGAAGTTTAATCTTCAACTTATTACTAATTTTCTTTATTTGTATTTTATTTTTAATCATCTAAATTTTCTATAGGTTTTTCTTCATTTTTTAAGAGATTATCTTTTTTTACTTCTTTTTTTTCTGATTTAATTTTATCAGTTTCTTTTTTGACTTCTTCTTTTTTTTGGCTAAATTTATGCTATTTTTTTCAATAGCTTTTTTTTGATCTTTTTTAACTTCTTCGTTTTTATGATCTTATTTTTTATGTTCTTCTTTTTTAATTTCTTCTTTTTTATGTTCTTCTTTTTTAACTTGCTTATCCTTTTAAACAATATGCTTTTTATCTGTTAGTTTATCTACATTTTTTTCAGCTGGTTTATCGTTATTTTTATCTGCGGGTTTGTCATTATGTTTTTCTATTGGTTTTTTAGTATTTGACGTTATTTTAGCAGCAGCTGTTTATGGTCTTTATTTTGATTCTTGTTTTTTTTCTTATTTTTTATCTTCTTTTTGTTCTTCTTTAATTAATTCTTTCTTTTCTTCTTATTTATCTTCTTTTTTAAATTCTTTTATTTCTTCTTAGTATTCTTGATTGTTTACATCTTTGTTTTCTTCTTTATTTTCTTCTTTGTTTTCTTCTTTGTTTTCTTCTTTGTTATCTTCTTTGTTTTCTTCTTTTTTTTCTTCATAAATATCTACTTTTTTATCATTAATTTTAACTATATTAATTTCTTCATTATTTTCTACTTTTTTTTGTCTTTTTTTCTTCGTTTTATTCATCTTTTTTTAATTATTTTTTTTCATGAGATACTGGTTTTTATTAAGTAACCACTTTAGTAGTTATTGTTGTTGTTGTAGTAATTTTTGTTGCTTTTTTTTCTTCATCATCATGCTTATTTTCATTAGTATTAGAAGTTTTCGTAATTTTTTATGCAGAAGGCTTAAATTAGGAGTCTTCTAATAATTTCTTTTAATTTCCTATATTTATTAAATATATTATGAATATTAATAATAAATATTATAAGATATAAATAAAGATAGAAAAAAATATTTAATAATATAATATTCTTTAAAATAATAATTATTAATAATAATAATAATTATAATTATTATTATTAATTATTATTATTATTATTATTAATATTATTTTGATTATTATTATTATGATTTTTGATGATTTTTATGATTTTTATTATTATATAGTTATTATGTTAATAATATAATTTTTATATTTATAAAATTTATAAATAATTAAATTATATTATATATATTATTAATATATATATTTTATTTTAGATAATTTTTGATTTTTACCTTATGTCAATGGTTCTTTTTTAAAATTAAATATTAAAAAAAATAAAAAAATATTATTTATATTTATAGATATTTAATATGAATATATTATTACATATTTTTTTAGATATAAAAAAAGATATTTTTATAAAAAATTATTTATTTATATATAAATATAAATATATATATATATATTATATTTATTTATATATTTTTTATTTTTAATAAATACTTATTTTTGTTTATTTACTTGATGTTTAAGGTCTATTTATTGTTGTTTGTTAATTTTTATTATGTTAATTAGTAATTGTTTCTTTAGATAAACTTTCGTTTATTTTATCTAAAGCTTATTATAAATTTTAAATTTTATAATCCTATTATTTATTTTTTTCTTAAAATTCATTTAATTATATTTATAATGGAGCTAAATATTCTTTTATCAATACTTGAAATTATTGATTAGTTATGTATTAATTTTCTTCCATATAAATTATTTATATAATTATTCTTTTTTATTTTTATGTTTATTTTTATGTTATTATCTAATATATATATATATAAAAAAAATCAATAATTTTTTATTTACTTATAAAAAATATATCTAAATTTTAAAAATATTTTATTTTAAAATATTTTTTATTATAAACGAAAAAGCAAAATTATATAAAATATATATATATATATATATATA